GCAGCGCCGCGGGCGCCGAGGAGCAGCGGGAAGCTGGGAAGGATGCGGAGAGGAAAGAGGCGTCGGATGCTTCTAAAGATCAGGGCAAGGCAAAGAAGGAGGAGCCCGAGGAGGAGGCCGATATGAAGGCGGTTGCCACCTCGCTGGATGGCAGGTTCCTAAAGTTTGATATTGAACTCGGGAGGGGATCCTTCAAAACCGTCTATAAGGGCCTGGACACCGAGACGTGGGTGGAAGTCGCGTGGTGTGAACTTCAGGTAAGCCGAGCTTATCCTCTTGTGTTTTTTCTGCTTTGTAAGCCTGGGCGCTAAGGGTAACATGCCGGTGTCATCCAGAGGAGCTCAGCTTTGAGCAGCCTTTATAGTCGCCATCGCTTAGTATCCAGTGTCTAACTATAGCGCAATATTCTCATTGGCTCCAGCTCTACCACCTTATGTACACTCCTCCCAGGCTTAACTCTCTCGGCCCTGGCATCTCCCTGCCGACACTGGCGGTGTGAGCGTAGGACCTGTCATATTGCATCAAAAGGTCAGGGGCTGCTCTTCCCGAGTGCACCAAGAATGTCGGAAGGAGTTCAGGGCAGCTCCTCTCTTCCCCTGCCCCAGCATGGCCAAAAAGCAGTAGCTCGGTGTAGCAGGAGGGGAGCAGCAGGTCTGTATTAAAAATACCGAGGGTAATGAACTTAGGGAGTGCGTTTGCAGGAGGGAGCTTTCCTTTTGCTGCGGATATAAATGCATCGTGCTCTTCTGAGGGCTGGAGATTCACAGCCCCCTGACCTGCCCTTGCCCCTCCTCTGAAGCTGGTTCCCAGGTTCTTGTGCATCAAACCTCCCGCATCACCTCGGTGCTTTCCTTTCCTTTTTTAGGTATTGTGAACTGGTCAAAGACTTACCCAGCCAAATGCCTTTTAAATAGGAGATTTAAAATAAAAGCTCTGATTTGAGCTCGAGGTCTTTAGAGTGAAGTCATCCAGTAATATCTGAAGGTTTAAATAGTATCTTTAACTGGTTTGGGACATGGCTGTCAGCCTTTTCTTAGCGTTTTTTATATTCCCACTTTTGTAAAAATGACAATAACATTATTGTGTCGTTTTTTTCCTTGTGAGGCTTTTAGCATGTTACCTCATTTCTGTTAGTGTCCATTTGAATGAGACCTATCTAAGAGAAAAAGCTAAGACAAATTTTGTTTGTGAGCTATTATTTGATTACTCTAATTTTGGTAGATTTGAGCTAGATTTAACTCTTTCGTACAGTTTGGAGTCCTTAAACTCACTGCCTAATTGAGCTTTATGGCCTATGGGACTATTCTCAAATAGCATGTAAATAATGTGATCTAATAAGCCTGAGTGCCTGATTGTTTATTTTTTAAATGGTGGTCCCATCTGTTTGTAAGTCACTCCCAGCTTCCTGGGATGGATCTACAGCCACATCTTTGTTAATTTCTACCCTAATTATTTAATTACACAAAATAATGGTTACTCACTGCAGCACTAAGAGCTATGGGGAGCACTTGTCAGGCTTTGCAATTGTGTGTTTCCCTGGCTTTTATCAGAGGTGTGGAATGTAGAGGTACAGCCCCCATGGGTTGTTCCCCTTTGCCCCCCATCCTGGAGGGCAGGGCGGGGGGCTCCTAGGGAAGGGGAGAGGCTGTGGGAAATCGCCAAGAGGATCTGAAGGGGAGGTGGGCGAGGCGGGTGCTTTTGTGGGGAGAGCCTTAGGCCTGGTCTTTGGCTTCAGAGTCCTGAGCGCTCTTGGCAGTCTGGAGTTAATTTACGACGGTAACTGGGATGCTGTGGGAGGGACGGTTTGTCCAGAGGAAGGGGCTGATGCTGTCGCAGGCTGCCTTGGTCAATGCAGAGCCATCCCACCTGTCTTGTTGCTGAATTTAGGGGAGTTGCAGTAGCTGTATTTGCAACATATTTTGTGTAACACATTTGCTTTAGCTATAAAATACTGCTACATGTATTGGAGAACGCAGTGTCTTGGTATTTCAGTGTTTAGCTCATTTACACGTGAGGGAGAGATTGGGAAATTGTAGTATGAACCTGACCTGGTGATTGGTTTTATTTTTCCTCCTTACATTTGTTTAGGAATCATTTAACTGACTGCACGTAAATAAATAATCTGTAATAATTCCCTAGTTCCCACAAGTTCCATTATACGTGCGTCAGCTTAAATCCCATCTCTCTACTAGGTATTTTCAATTGAATGTATACATTTTTAGGCCTCTACCTGTAGAAAGAAATCTCCCTTTATTATTTAACTGCTGGAGAGAAATAGGTGTGAATCCCTAGAAGCAGGGAGGGTGCTGGTTCTCCTGAAACACTGGTGTGTCTGCTCACCCTTGGGATTTGGGGGTGATGCCACGGGCCAGGTAAGGTGAGCTGGTATGTGAGTTTTGAAAGCAGCGCATGGGTCTGGATTGAGAAGGTCGAACTGAATGACAAAAGACTTTAATCACCATGGGGATTAAAGCTTCTGCTTTTGGGATGAATTCGCAGGAAGGAAGCGATCAGGAGAAGGTGTGAATAGCTGTGTGTTGTCTTGGGCTTTTGATTTGCAGAGTACTCGAATTCAGCTTGGGAGTTATACTGGGGAAACATCCCGATGCTATTAAGTAATCGCTGTGTTGAAGCTGTGCCAGGTGATGTGCCCCCCGTTGGCCTCGGTAGAAATGCGGGGTTCGGATGCAGTGGTGGGCAGTGCAAGCCACCGTCGCCGTGGTCTTGGAGACAAAATTCCTTCCTCTGCCGTCTCGAACCATCAAAACCCACCCCAGAGCCTTTCTGTAGAAAAATGGCAACAGACTAGTCCGTCTTTTTCTGGAGATGCACTTGTGCTTGTTACTTTTAGAGCTGGAGAGTTAAAAGTGAGCAGTACTGAGGTTCCACGCAGGCTTTAATCCTCTGTCCTTGCTCAGCATTTTTGCAGGCCAGTTGTGCTGTTGCCTGTGTCTGTCTCTTTTTTTTTGTCCATCTGCACAAAGACCTTGCGAGCCATTCTTGTTCAGTGGCTTTATTTCATTGAAAGGGTGGCTTTAGGGTTCAGAGCCGAGATCATGGCTTGGATTAGGGCAGGATCCGAATGCTAACCAAACAAGATCTGGGGGTTAGACCTGTCTGAAGATGTGGAAGCTGCTGTCGAATTCAAGCTAGAGAATGCATTTATTGTTCCTTCCTGAAACTGAAGTCATGGAGCAGGATTAGCTTGCCCTTGCAATTTGGAAAGGTTTGCAGTCTAAGGTTTTCAACAGCTATAATTAATTTTGATTGGTGGCACAGAATTGCTGTGTGGTGAGGCTTCAGCCTAACAGTATCTCAGCATCTCACTCCTAAGTAAAATGTTGGGTCATGAATAAGGAATATAGGCTTTTGCCACTGCACTGCTGGCAAGCCAAATAGTCTTTTTAGTTAGATGAATGGCTTCAAAGTGCCCATCTTGGGCCCTTGGGAACATGTAGGATAACTGCAGAAGAGTGAAACCTTGTACTATCTAGAATGCAAAGACCTCATAGTACATTATGGTTCTCACTTGGACTGTGAATGTTGAGCTTTTGATTGTATTTAATTTTAACTTCCTTTGCTGAAAAAGAGGAAGGGCTGGGCTGTGTGGTCCTGCTGCTGCTGTACCCATGGGGGGGAGCTGAGAAATGTTTGTTGGGAGCACTGCAAGGAAGCCAGCCTTTTTCCTCTGGCTGCCCAATACTTGTTCTCCGTTCTGTGTCCTGCTGCTTAGGTGGACACTGATGTCCTGAGGGCGCTTGGGCCTCCAGGTGCTCTTCGTGGGAGTCCTTGCTGCTCCCTGGGACAGCTCAGTTCAGGTATCAGATGTTAGAGGTGTTCGGGGAGCGATGTAAGAGTGAAGGGTGGGCAGAGGTCAAGTCTCCTTCCCCGCCCATCTAGCTGAAATTAGAAATCAAGGGTATGAGAATAGCTCTGACTGCGTTTCCTAAATGGCCACCAAGCCAAGGCAGAACAACCACAACAGGACACGGCGCTTTGTGGTGGCCATTCCTTGCCTTGCAGCTTTTCTGCCAGGCTTCTGGTCATATAGTTCTCTTGGGGAAAACTTTGTTACCTTTTCAAGAGAAGTGTTTTACTTCACAGCTTTATAGCACTTTTTCCTTTTCATGCCAGTCTTTGCAAACTGCCTGAACCAGAAACAAAAAAAAAGAAAAGTGAAAGGGCATTTTATGTCTTGAGTCACTGAGGTATTGGGGAGTCTGAAATTTTTGGAGGGCATGGATCTTAACTGAAAATTAAGTTTGAAATGTGGATGCATTTCTGAATGTTTCTTTAATTTGTTTCATATCGATGTGAGTACATTTTCTTGACCTGTTTTTATTCCTTAAATGAGAAACTCATCCAAATTGGTTGATAGCTGACTGATTTTAATATGGCATGAATATTCAAGATGAGGTGAGATTTTGTTTTAATGGAAAGTGAATGAAAAGAGTGTTTAAAACCATTAATTCTAGACCTATGTGAGCTTACAAATTTTTGTTTCTAAGACGACAATTTTTGCTTTGAGGAAAGATTGTGGTTTGAGTGGGGGAAAGGAGGAAAAGCATGCAGTTTATTTCCAAGTGTGATACCTTATACATGAGAAAAGGCCATGATGTCTATGTAACTATTTTATTACATTTTTAACTGGTGTTTTTCATCTTGTGTCCATTTACAAGATCTGGTAGTTCAAAGCAATGCCAAAGGTCCATGGTGCAGGTGGTTTTGTGTAAGCACATATGTTTGCATGGTTAAAAGAGGGAGCTTGTGACATGGACAATGTTTAAGCAAGTTCACTTCTAGCTGGCAAGTCACTTCTGTCAAAATTAAATTATGTGGAGTTAAATTATGTGGAAGGAGGACGATGTCATGTGCTCCTGTATCAAGAATCCAGGGAATTTCTTTCTGGATCTTGAGGATTTTCACTGGTTATTAGTTTCCTTGTTGGCTGGCATCATTCATCTGATGTTGAAATAGTAGCTGTTTACAGCTGTTTACTGTAATTTATTGGCTGGGTAAACTTTGTAGTGTAAGTGAACATAATAATTTAGAACATCAGTTTGGGAGAAGCAAAGAGGGAAATTGTATCAGAAAGCTTGAACCTGATACAGCTCTGTGCTCATATTAAATTAACTCTCCCTACCTTTGTCTGTTTCGAATAAATTTTTGAGATAGTGACTTCTGTTTAAATTGAAACAACTAGCTTAGCTCTGCTTTACAGTGTCAATATGAAAACATGTGCCTGTATCAGTGGCAT